ACTTGATGATACCTAGCAACAACAACAATGGTCGCTATGGGTTGGAATCAACTGATAACACATAACAACAACAATGGTTAATGGTGTGGCACTATAGGATGAGCACTGGGCAACAAGATCGGTTTCAACCGCAAGGTTGGTGGTCCAAACTCACCAGCCACTTCTCAGAAAACCTGTATGGGGTCACTATGAGTTGGAACGGACTTGACGGCACTTAACAGCAATAACACCAATGGCTAATGACACCAATGAATATTTCTTCATATGTTTGTTGACCACCTGAATATCTTCTTTGGTGAAGTGTCTGCTCATGTCCTGTACCCATTTTTTAATTGGATTATTTGTCTTCTTGTTGTTGAGGTGTGGAAGTGTTCTATGAATTTTAGAGGGCAGTCCTCTGTCTAGTATATCATTGCCAAAAAGTTATTCCTAATCTGTGAGTTCTCATTTTACTCTTCTAGTGAAATTCTTTGATGTACATAAGTGCCTAATTTTTAGGAGGTCCCAGTTATCTATTTTGTCTTTTATTGGTGTGTTTACAGTTATGTTTTATAGTGTATTTATGCCATGTTTCAGAGCTCCTAAGTTTGTCTCTTTTTCTTCATTGATGATTCTTGTAGTTTTCGGTTTTACATTTAGATCTTTAACCCACTTTGAGTTCATTTTTGAATATTGGAGTGCCTAATATATTGGAGGAGTCCTGGTGTGGCGCTGTGGGTTAATGTGCCAGACTGCAAAGCCATTTGAACTGCAAGGTCGGTGGTTCAAGCTCACCAACTGCTCCTCGGAAACCCTATACAGGGTCGCTATGGGTCAGAATCAGCTCAGTGGCACTTAACAACAAGAACAACAGTATATTGGAAGAAGTCCACACCACCAAGGAAACTTCCTTTCAGTTGATTGGCTACTTATAACAGACCTTATCATAGAATTCATCATACCAGATTATATTTCATCATGGGGATAACTGATGACATTTCAACTGTCAAACCACTGAGAATTCTGGCCTAATCCAGTTGACATAAAACCTAACTATTACAAGTAGGTTTTGAGAGTGGGAAGTGACAGGCCTCCTACTTTGCTCCTCTTTTTTATTAATGCTTTTCTTATACAGTGTCTCTTTCCTTTGTGTATAAAGTTAGTATTGTTTTCCAATTCTTTAAAGAATGATGTTGGAATCTGCATTGCATTGTAACTATAGATGGCTTTGGGTAGTGTTGACATCTTCAATGTTAAGTTTTGCTATCCATTAACATGGTATAGGCCTCCATTTCTGCAAGTCTTTTTTTGGTTGCTTGCAGTAGTGTTTTGTAGTTTTTCTTTGTATAGGTTTTTTTGCTTCTCTGGTTAGATTTATTCCTAAGTATTTAATCTTTTGTGTGGCTATTGTAAATGGCATTATTTCCCTGATTTTATTATTAGTGAAAAGGAATCTAACTTTTTATTGTATGTTGTTGTATGTTGACCTACCCTGCCACTTTGCCAAATATTTCAATAAGTTTAAATAATTTTCATGCTGAATCTTTGGGATTTTCTATGTATAGGATCATATCATCTACAAACAGAGAGAGTTTTACTTTTTCTTTGCCAATTTGGTGATGTTGTTGCTAAGTGTCATCTAGTTGATTCTGACTCATAGTGACCTGTATAGGGTTTCCAAGGAGTGGTTGATGAACTTGAGCCACGAACCTTGTGGTTCAAACCAACATTGCCATCCAGCACATTAACCCCATAGCTTGCCTTTAATTTCCCTTTCTTGCCTTATAGGTCTGGCTAAGACTTCCTGGGCAATATTGAATAGGAGTGGTGATAAAGGGCATCCTTGTTTGGTTCCTTTTCACAAGGGGAATGCCTTCAGTTTCTCACCATTGAGAGTGATGTTGGCTGTTGGTTTTGCACATATACCCTTAATAACATTAAGGAATTTTCCTTCTATCCCTAGTTTATTGGATGTTTTTATCAGGAATGGGTGTTCGATTTTGTTAACTGCCTTTTCTGCATCAATTGATTAATCATGTGATTTTTTCCCCTTTGTTTTATTTATGTGGTGGATTACGTTGATTGTTTTCTAATATTGAACCACCCCTGCATTATTGCGGTTGAGTGCTGTTGAGTCAGTTCTGACTCATAGTGACCCTGTATAGGGTTTCCAAGGAGTGGCTGGTGAGTTTAAACCACCGACCTTGTAGTTCAACCTGACCTTGAGGTCCACTGCTTTATCCCAAAGCACCACACCAGCCCTGCATTGTTATTGTTGTTATTTGCCGTAGAGTTGTTTCTAACTCACAGCGACCCTGTACAGGGTTTCCGAGGCTGCAAATCTTTACGGGAGCAGAAAGCCTCATCTTTCTCCCATGGAACAGCTGGTAGTTTCGAACTGCTGACCCTGAGGATAGCAGCCCAATCCGTTACCACTATGCTACCAGAGCTCCTTGCATACCTGGTATGAATCCCAGTTGGTAATGATGCATTATTTTTTTGATGTTTTGCTGGATTCCATTGGCTAGGATTTAGTTGAAATTTTTTACATATATGTTCATGAGGGATATTGGTTTATAATTTCTTTTTTTAATTTGGGTATCAGGGTTTCAGGGCTCTAATAAGTAGAGGGATTGCGGTAGTGTATGGTTTTTCTATTTAAAATTTTTTGAGAAAGTGCCATACCGTTTTCCACAATAGTTGCACTATTTTATAGTCCCACTAGCAGTATATGAGAGTCCTAGTCTTTCCACAGCCTCACCAACATTTGTTTTTACCTGGTTTGTGTGTGTGTGTTTGAGCCATTTATATATTTTAAATGTTTTATAGTGAGTTGAGTGAAGATTTACAGCGCCGATCATCAGTTTTACACTCAACAAATCATGTACTTTACTTCATTGCAACCATTCATCTGTTTTTTTAAAAAAAGTATTTCATTACCAAATGAAATCAATGTTCTAAGTACACAGATCTGTACCTGTTCTTCCTCTCCAAGGAGGAGGTGGTAATGCTAGTTGGAAGAAGATGAGAGAATATGAAAAGGAGATAATTGAGTAGAACGGTAGTCATTCACTTCATCAGACTACAAACTGCAGAACTAAATTAGTGTGCAATGGAATCAAATGTGGCATTCGCCACATTAAGAGATTGTAGAGATCCCATTGATCTAAATTCCACTCTTTTCTTGGCTACAGAGCTTTTTGGAGTCTTGTTGGACCACTGTAAAATGAACACTGGGCCACAAGGTCAGTTTGAACTTCAAGATCCAGCCACTCCTTGGAAACTCTATACAGGGTCACTATGAGTCAGAACTGTCTCAATAGCACTCAATGACAATAATGCAGGGGTGGTTCAAAATTAGAAAAACGATCAATGCAATCCACCACATAAATAAAACAAAGGGGAAACAAGTCACATGATTAACCAATTGAGGCAGAAAAGGCAGTTGACAAAATTCAGCAGCAGCTCCTTGAAAACCCTATACAGGGTCACTGTGAATTGGAACCAACTCGATGGCACTAAGCATCAAACAACAACACAGAGCTCTTCAGCACACTGAAAGGATCCCTGACTCTCACCTTACACACACACAGCCTTGCCAAGAGGCCTTCAGGCAGGATTTCTGGCTCCCAGCTTAAGGACACTCTTGGAGAATAAAATCCAAAACCAAACCCACTACCACTGAATTCATTCCAGCTTGCAGTTTCCAAGGCTGCCATCTTTATGGAAGCAGATTACCTCATCCTTCTCCCCTAGAGCAGCTGGCAAGTTTGAACAACTAAACTTCCTTTAGCAGCCCAGTGCTTAACCACTGTGTCACCAGAGCTCCATTTGTTAGAATATAGCTCCCTTATGTTCTGCCTTCCCAAGAATTCATTTTAAGGTTTCTGGGTGGCATGTATGGTTTGCTCTTGGCTACGACTGGAAGGTTGTCTGCTTGAACCCACCCAGAGTGTCATGGAAGAAAGATTGGTAATATACTTCTGTGAAGATTAAAGCCAAAAAGCACTTACGGCACAGTTCTACTCTGCAACACATGGCGTTGCCATGAGTCAGAATCAACTCAAGAGCAATGGGTTTAGATTTTTTTTTTTTTCTTTCCTCCTTTCTTTCTTTTTTTTTTTAAGTCCTCGTTTAACCCTTTCATGATCTATGGGACAAAAATGCAACATTTTCAGCCTTTCAGGTTTCTTGGGAAGCTGCTACCCCAGTTGTAGTACGTGCTATTGCCTGAATCACTGCATGAATCAGAAGAAATGGCCCTTGTGATACCAATCCAACTACCAGAGTCCCTGGTGACATACGTGCCCCCTCACATAATTGTAACAAAATTAATTACCTCAAAAAAATTTCCCCTTGATTTTGGCATATCTTCCATTACTAGAAACACATGGTATCAACAAAAACTGCTAAAGAAGAAAATAATTTGGTCATGAAAGGATAAAACTTTTCTGCTCTTTCAATATTTTACTATGGCAGGCATAGCCTACACAACTTTATCCCTTTTACCCCTGAGGCTACACCTTCCCTGCCCCCTCTTCATTCTTCCCAGCACATGATTTTTCAGATCCTTTCACTGTTACAGGTCCATCCTTTGAGCACATTTTGCTTTAATCAGGTAATCAGGTAATCACTCCTAAGATTACCTGATAATACTCTGACTGAATTCCTATTAATTTGAAATATGGGTCCAATTAGAGATTGTACACTCCTAAGATTACCTGGGAGTCCTGGTGTGGTGCTGTTGGTTAATGTGCCAGACTGCAAAGCCATTTGAACTGCAAGGTTGGCAGTTCAAGCTCACCAGCTGCTCCTTGGAAACCCTATACGGGGTCGCTATGGGTTGGAATCGACTCGACGGCACTTGACAACAACAACAACAAGATTACCTGAGTTCTCCATCCCTCATGTGCTATTATCTAGCATAAATTGTTGCTCCACTTGCTTAGCAAGTGACAGGCTAATTCCAGGGCTGAAATGTAGTGTAACTATTTATGATTATTCATTTCTTTCCTGCCCAGGGTATGCATCAATATCTTGGGAGGTCAATATTCAGATCAAGCAGGCAACAGAGTGAGAGCTTGGAACTGGTCAAGTTCGGTTGCTTCCACCCCCTTCGTGTCATTTAAACCGGTCTTTCTGGCTTTGAACCATTATGTTGGAGTTCGAATCTTAGAACAAGACAAAATTTCCATCACTTTTCTAGCAATGGGCCAACAGGCAAGAATCAGCGTTGGAACCAAAGTCAAGGTAGGTGCATTTTAAAAAATACTTTAAAGCATTTAGAATAATATGAGCACAGTAACTTTTCCTTGGTGTTACTGCTGATAGATTATACTTGTGCCCACACTATTAGTCACTGATGATTTTGAAACTCAGTGAAAAAAACACATAGTACAAGTTTCATATGGAATTGAATTAGCCTTATTTCTTGTTTCTTCTTCATCAGACATTCTTTTATTTTGGTCCACATCACATTAATTGAGTGTCTGTGATTCAAGAGTGTTGCTTTGGAGGCTTGGTTTGGGAATTTTTGTATTGTGTATGGTTTTTTCTAGACTGGGCTGTGTAAAGAAGACCAGGGATTCAACCATGTTTAAGACTAAGGATAAGCCCCATCTCCTTGAAGAGGCTTCCCAGATTTCTTAGTCCTTTGCCTAGTCACGGTCGATCATACCCTTCTCTGGGCTCTCCTTGAACTTGTTGAACTATGCTTTATATAACTCCATGGCTGCCTTCCCTAATGGATAGTGAACTCGTAGAGGTCCAAATCTCTATCGTACTGATTCCTCTCTCCCAGAGTCCAGTGTAGGGCATGGTTCAGAGTGTACACTCAGACTGGCCGTATTGCATAGTGTGGTTAAGAACATGAACTTCAGAGCTACAGAGACGTAGCTTGAAGCATCAGCTCTGTCACTTAGCTAAATGAACTTGAGCGTCAGTTTTCTCACCTGTAAAATGGAGATAGAGATTTTTACCTTACAGATTGTGACAATACAATGAGAATAGAAAGCATTAATATGGTAAATGGTAGCTCACAAGCGATGCAGAGATAGATATGACTAGAGATATGTGTTGGTATGTACAAAGTGACTTTAAACAATTCCTTAAACTCTTTAGACTTCCATTTCATCTCTTGGTCCAAAACACAAAGGTATCTTGCTTTAAATATATCCATGAATATGGTGCAACATAAAGGGGACAAAGTTTTAAAAACTTCTGGACTCTTCTGGCATGATGGCAGACTAGGTAGACAGACTACATAGACCCTCTACAGCAAAGATAAAAGAAGCCAAATGAAACAGACACAGATGAAAATTTTGGAACACTGAACTTCAGAGGAAAGGTTAGAGAAGTGGATTGAGTGCTTGCTGGGAGGAGAAGCTGAGCAGGGATGGCAAGAGAGGAAAACTGACTGGTGAGTGGCCGTCCAGGTGCAACACGACCACAGGCCATGGTGGATTCAGAGCTGTCCTGCTAAGATCTTTGGTGTGATGTTCATGACTGACACCTAGCTGGGCACCATGGGAAGAATTCCAGCAGGTAGCTGCTAGTGACTTAAGGTATCCTAAACTCATCTTCCTTATTACTAATTTCCTTTTCATCAGCAGAGCCAGGTTGAAAAAAAGGTTGCTTTTCTTCCATCCCTTTGTTTCTTTATTAATACCTTGCTCTTCCTTTCACCTTTCTCTATGAATTCTCTGACTGACACGTTGGTCACAAAATTTTTCATGTGGGGTGGTCTGCTCTCCTGGGCAACCTCAAAATTAACAGACAAGTTCCATTTAAGTGCAATCTCAAACACTTGACTTATTTCAGATTTATTGAGATTTTTCATCTGATTCTCTTCCCCTCACCTCCAGCTTCTCAGGAAAGGGCCCCTTCTGCAGGATCCTCAGCATATTTCCCAACTTGCCTCATCCTTCCTTTTCCATTAAACTGCTGTCTTCGACCAAAAGTTCAACTAGATAAAGCAATGGTGGACTGGAAATGTGCGATGTACTTGGGGGGGTGCAGGGAGTAAGCACCTCCTCTCATGCTGTAGTTGTGGGTGCACTGCACTGGACAGTAAAGGTCAACAAGCTTGAACATTGTTTATTTTCCAAGTTTCATGCACAGATCATTTAGTTCTACAGTAGGTGTTATGCTTTCTTAAAAAGAGGATGCTCCAGGGACAATGTTGTTTGGGTTCCGTTCTAAGAGGTTATGTGGTTAAGAAGCCCCAGACTGCTGCCCTGAGTGTGTTGACTAAGGAGCAAAGACACTGAGGGGCCATGGAAGGTGGGGGAGTGACGGAGAGAATGGAATAAGACATGGCTGGTGCAAACACTGAAGAATTAAAAAATATTTCTGTTGATGAAAACCACTTTTTATTTTCTATAATAATAAAATCAGTTTTATTGATTTTAAAATGTTCTCTGTCATATTATGGGACTTAGAGTTGAAGGGGAAGTTAAGGATTTCCCCAGGCACACCTCCTCATTCCATTCTTAGTTATTCAGCCATCTTATCTTCCTTTTTCCCTTCCATCTTTTCTTTTCTTCTTTCTTTTTGATGTTGAGGAATGGGATGGAAACACACAGAGACTCTTGCAGATAAATGGTCAGTAGTTTCTGCTGCATTTAGACTGCTCTGGTAGCATAGTGGTTATAGCTTGGGCTGTGAACCGCAAGGTCAGCAGTTTGAAATTACCAGCTGTTCCACGGGAGAAAGATGAGGCTTTCTGCTCCCATAAAGATTTATGGCCTCAGAAACCCTGTACAGGGTCGCTATGAGTCGGAACCGACTCTATGGCACATAACAACAATCAAGGCTGTGGAGTCTTGGGGTGGTGCTGCAAGATAAGAACTCAACCTCAAGGTCGCCTTGAACCACAAGATCGGCAGTCCAAACTCACCTATACAGAGTGGTTAAGAGTGTGAAATGATTCTATAGCATTTAACAACAATAACAATGAAACTGTGTTGCTGTGGTGTGGCACAACAGGATCAGCACTGGACTGCAAACCACAAGGTCAGCAGTTCAAACCCACCAACTGCTCCTTGGAAACCCTATACAGGGTTGCTATGAGTCAGAACTGACTTGGCAGCATTGAACAACAATGAGGCTGTAGGGAACGCAGTGGCTTTATCTGATACACCCTGGACTGAGAACCACAAGGTCAGCAGTTGGAGCCCACCCACAGCTCTGTAAGAGAAAGATGAGACTTTCTACTTCCCCAAAATTTACAGTCATAAACCCTATTATTTCAGGGTTGTTATGAGTTGTCACCAACCTCACAGCACTTAACAGTAACAACATATGAAGCTATATATATGGCCCTTCCTGAAGACACACAATGTGGAAACACCTCAGGCAGCCTGTCCCAACAGATCCACTCGCCTTCCTTCAAGGAGGCTATATCAGCCTCGAATCACCAAAGGCTGTGAGCATATGGGGAGGGCAGAAGCCAAGGAAAAGTCATTTGGAATGTTGTTGTTGTTGTTGTTGTTAAGTACCATGGAGTCGGTTCCGACTCATAGTGACCCTGCATAGGGTTTCCGAGGCTGTAAATCTTTACGGGAGCAGAACACATCATCTTTCTCCCGTGGAACTGCTGGTAGTTTCAAACTGCTGACCTTCAGGTTAGCAGCCTGATTTGTAACCACTTCGCTACCAGAGCTCACCTCCTAAAATTAAAGGCACACTTTGGGAGAAAGAAAGGGAGTTTGGGTCATTCCCATCATTCTTGAGGAACTGGGCCCCTCGATGCCTTCCCATTTGGCCACCAGCCTCCAGACCAGCACTCACCACAATTTGTTCATCTTTCTTCCCTTCTGGGCATCTTCCCGGGAAGGGATTGTACTCTCAGTTCCTTTTAGTCAGTATTTGCCAGTTGCATTTCTTAAATAAATTGTAAACTTTGAAAGGTATCCAAATTTCATTTACTTTACTCAGTCTGGCCTTCGTTTAGTCTCTCAAGTCTCCACAGCACTTAACTCACTGCCCTTGTTTGTGGTTAACTAGACTGGTATCCATCTCAGTCAACTCCCACAAACTTCCCAAGGTCCCGAGCTCCATTACTGGACTCTGAGCTTTCCTCTTCTTTCTCTTCCCTGAAAAGCTACCAAACCCTGAGGAGATTCCAGTCCTCCGATATGTGAGTGGAGATGACCTTCTTCTGCTGGCCAGTTTAATAAAGATTCGACGCCTATTTCATAAACTACAAGGATGTATGAATTTTCCCTCAAGCCAAGTTTGGGGTAAACTAAAGCAACCTTCATATCTTTCTTCACTGTCTCTAAAACTAATTGCTCTCTGTCACAATTCTGGAATAAAGCGAAATATAATGACAACAATAAGACGTATATTAAATGAAAAAATTTAAGAGTGATGGTGCTTTCAGTTGTTTTTGAGTTGTGTTTTTTTAAAGGGCATGCTTCAAGAAAATATATAAAATGCCTATAAAATTCTAAGAAATATGCCTTACTATAAACTTAGAGAATTAGAGCATGTCCTCAGTTGTCACTGGCTTATTTTCTTGGCAGAAAAACTAAACTTGTTGAACACCAGAGAATGAGCAAATCATCAAAGGTATTGATACCAGCTGAGTTCTAACAGAAAACTTAGAAAGTAGGAAGGGATTAGTTGCTTATGAAACCATTGGAAGGGCTGGGGAAGAGAGGGTCAGGAAAAGCCCCTGATGGCTTTCAGGAAACCAGGAAGTGAAGGCGTCTCAGGGACCCTTAAATCAACCAATTTTAGTAATCCACAAGACTAGCATGTGAATCTGGTAGTGTAGTGGTTACGAATCAGGCTGTGAACTGCAAGGTCAGCTGTTTGAAACTACCAGCTGTTCTGCAGGAGAAAGATGAGGCTTTCTGCTCCCATAAAGATTTACAGCCTCGGAAACCCTATACAGGGTCGCTATGAGTCGGAACCGACTCCACGGCATGTAACCACCACCCATCCTAGTGCAGAATTCATAAGAAACTGCCATCTGCCTAAACATCCACTCACTACTTCCAAAGATGAACGATAGCTTCTCACTTCTCCCACCTTTGGAAGCTCAGACTCCTGCCTCTAACTGGGGAATCTAAGCCAATCTTGGCTGACAAAAAGTCATGAAAATTACATATTCTCCATGCATCCAGTTCCTGAGTAAAGGGATATTTCTAAATCTTCAATGACAACCCAGCTCTGTATCCTCTGCTCAATACAAAGATTGCTTTAGGACACAGCATGGGGTATAAGCTCACACTTCAATAGAAAATAGACTTAAGAGTTGGGTATGGAGAACCCTAAAAGCAACAGAGGAGCCAAAACCTTCCCTAGACTTCTCATTCTCTATTTAGGAAAGGGAAAAAACTTAACTTCAAGGGTCATTCCTTATTCTAAACTCCCAGTTTGCTGCAAATGTACCACAAACGGAACTGAGCCTTCACAATTCAGTGTGAATTGAATATATCAAATCATTTCTCCCTCTAATAACTAACTGAGGAAATACAAAGAGGGAAAGAAGAGAAAGATTTGGGTGGCCCAGAAGAGACTGAGGGCTGGGCAGTATGAAGTTACTGAGCTGGTGGGAGGAAAGTTGTCTGCTTTTCGGTGTGGTTGTTGTTGTTGTTGTTGTCCCATCGAGTCAGTTCTGACTCATAGTGACCCTGTATAGAGTTTACAAGGAGCAGCTGGTGGGTTTGAATTGCTGACCTTGTGGTTTGAAATTCAGTGCTGATCCTACAGCACCACACAAGGAGTCCTGTAACTACCATATTTTAAATTTTCTTTTCAAAAAGGTTGTTAAAATTGAGGATTCAATTTTATCATTGTTTCATTTCTACTGTTGTTAATCCCAATTGTTACCATTGTGAAAAAGAAGTAAGTACCTAGACTTACATCTTCACTGGTGTTAAATGGCTGCCTCTTTTGTATTTAGCCATTCTTCTTCAGTTTCACTGATGACTATCAAATGAGATAGTTAATGCTGTTGAGTTGGTTCTGACAGTGACAAATCAAGAAACTGCATTTCCACATCAGAGAAAGGGAACTACTAAAGATTTGATATTACACCTTGTTGTGAGATCAGCATCAGACAATATACACAGAGAAGTCTAAGGGGAAAATAACTTTGCATTTTGAGTCCCCTTTTTGTACCCTTGCTCTTCAGGTCTTGTACTAGGCAATGGAATAAACAAGATGAGCTATCCAGCCAAACTCTTCAGAGAGAGAGCTGAATTATGTCATTTCAAGTGACCTAGTGACTTCTGCGTTACTTGATTATATAAAGGGACAACACATTGTGGAAAGAATCAGCTGTTTACTCTCTTATCCATGTGAAAACATTAAACAAACCAATTCCAACTCAAGGCAATCCCATGTGTCAGAATAGTATTTTGTTTTTTAAACTTTTTATTGTGAATGAAGTGAAGGCTTCCAGAGCAGATCATTAGTTTTACATTTGACAAATCATACACTTCATTTCTTCCCAATGACTGCAATCCCTTCCATGTAACAGCAGTTCTTCCACTTTCCCCCTGAGGTTCTTATCTCCATCCCAGCCTCCTTCCACCATCCCTTCTCAACTTTGTCTTTAGGGAAGCGTTGCCCTTTTCATCTTGAGTGGTTGACCATTCCATGGTGAGCATACCTTACTAGCAATACTGGTCCCACTATATGCCTGTATTTATCTCTTGGCTGAAAATTGGGCCAGTTCCAGACCTGAAGAGTGACCAAGGGCCATCGTCTCAGGCCCTTGTATTATTCCATTGTGTGTATGAACCAAAGTTTGTTTAATCATTCAACTGTTGATGGGCATTTAGGCTGTCTCCATCTTTTTTGATATGTTTCCTATAGACAGCATATTGATGGATTCTGTTTTCTTATCCATTCTGCTCTTTATATGTCTTGATGGGTACATTTAATCCATTTACATTCAGTGTAACTATCAATAGGTATAAATAGACAGGTGTCATTTTTCTGTATTTTTCTTGTGATGCTACTGGATTCTTTGTTCCACATAATTTCTATGCTGAATTCATTTTGTTTATGGGCTCTTATCATTTTCATTTCTGTTGTGTTCATGTTTACTAAATCTTTCTGACTTTTCACTTTTAAAATTTTTATGTGCAGGTGTATTATTTTTCTTTGAAGTTGCTATGTAATTTATTAATTTTTTGCCTGTTCAAAACAGTCTGTTTTATCTTAAAATTTACTTGACTTCCTTGCCATTTGGATGTTCTATATCTACACTGGTAATCTCTTTTTGCTTTGGAGTTGACTTCATTATACATTGATAGCTCTGGTTCTCTATTTTCAGTCTTGTAGGTTTGTTTTACTTTAAATATTTCTATATCTGGATTGAATTCTGGGTGGTGTTTTCATAAGTGGCAATCTCAGGTTGCTGTCTGCTGGTGTTGGTTCTCAGTCCAAAGAGCACCCTTTAGCATTTTTGGCAAAGTTGGTCTGGTCAATATAAATTCCTTTAATTTTTGTTTTTATTTATCAGATAATGTCCTAATTTTGCGGGACTGCTTTGCTGTGTACATGATTCTTGGTTGGCAATCATTTTCTTTCATCGTTTTGTATATGTCATTCCACTGCCTCCTTACACTCATGGTTTCTGCTAAGAAATCGGAGCTTAGTCTTATTGGTTCTCCTTTGCAGGTAACTAATTTTTCACTTCTCCCAAGCTTCTCTCAGGATTCTTTCTTTGTCTTTGGTTTGACATATTTGGTTATATCTTGGGTATTTTCTTTTGTGATCTATCCTGCTTGGGGTCCATTTAGCTTCTAGTATGTTTATTTTCTAATCTTTCATAATGTTAGGGGAGTTTTCTTCCAACAATTCTTTCACAGTTTTCTCTGTGCTTGTCTCTTTGTTCTGGAATTCTATCACCCATAAATTGTTCCTCTTCTTGGTGTCCCACATAAGTCTTAGTTTTTGGGGGGATTTTTGTCATTATTTTTTCTGATTGTTCTTCTAGCATACTAGTATTGAGAGATTTCTCTTCAAACTCACTCATTCGGGCTTCAATTGTTTCACATCTACTTCTTTGCCCTTTCAATGCATTGTCCATTTCTGAGATCTTAGTATTAATCTTCTGGATTTCTAATCACAAATTTTGTATTGTTTCAAAATTTGCATTTATTTTGTCTGTTTGCTCTTGTAGTGTTTTTCTGAATTCTTTTAAAGTTTTTATTTTGTTCCCCTGTTTTCTTTTATCTTTCTATTGATACTTTAAAGGTACCTAATTATCTTTTTTTTTTTTTCACTTACTTTCCTTTTCTTCCTCAGAAACATCTTCTGGCTCTGAATCTTGGTCATTTATTTGAGCCATTCTCTCTTGTTTTTTGATGTGAGTTAAAATTGTCTGTTGTCTCCTGGGCATTGTGAGATTGCTGTATTTGTAAAATCAAACAGTGCAGTTGTTGGACCTGGAGGGAGAAACCTCTGGGGGCTCCTACAATTCAAGAGCTCATGAGGTGAGTTGTGGAAGGGATGTGACAGCAGAGTTCCTGGCCCCAGATGGAAGTTCCCATTGGCTTTGGTGTTATCTATGTTCAGAGCACTCAATCTGGAAGTAGTTCATGGAGGCCCTTGATGGAGCTGGTTTCAGTGTCTGTTAGGACCACAGGGTGGCTGGGTGCATACAGCATGACTGGTTAAATGCTGATCTGGTGGCTCTGCAGGTTTTGTAGGTCTGGAGTTGAGCCCACTTGAACATAGGCAATCAAAGCAGCAAAGCCAGCCCCCACCTCACAGTGGCATGACTCACAATCCACAGCTCCATACTCCAGAGAGCAAGGTCTATGCTGGGAGTGCAGGAGGGTAGAAGCTGGCCACCCACCTGATCACCAGGAGAGCGTGTGGGAAAAACAAGAAATTGCTCCTTACAAGATGGCCAAGCTACGTCTGGACAGCTGTTCACCAGTCAGTCTCCCTCTTTCACCATCCCTGCTTAGCCTCTTCTCCCAGCAATCACTCCACCCAACTCTCGAACCTTTCTTCCGAAGTTCGGGGAGCTAGAATTTTCATCTATGTCTGTTTTGTCTCTCGTATCTTTGTTGTAAAGGGTCTGTATAGTGTGTCTGCCTGATCCACCATCTTGCCAAAAGTCCTCCTTCCTTTCCTTGAAAATCATCCCTTCAAGCATCTAGATCCAATGTCCTCTCCCTCTACTCCTTCAGTCCTTGATAGGTTTCTTTTTACCAAGACTCAGCATGTCCTGCAATGCATGCCATTTTTGTGAGTTTGTCTCCTTTGCTTGACTATAAGCATGTTGAAAGTAGTTGTGTTACACATTTTCACAATTATGCTATCCCATATAGTACTTTGTACATACAATCCTCAAAAATGCTTGTTGCATATGGACCTAAATGGAAACCTTAT